CTTTCGTCATGAGTTGGCGTGGTCCTCACCATACTGAGTTCATATGTTTCTATCGCCTCGATCGGCAAGTTCTCGAAACTTTCGTCATTCGTATCGAAGGTCCGACCTAAACCTAAACTTTATATTTCGCATTCTAAACCCCGAAGTACTCGTGTGAAGAGTACTTTGTTCTCCGGAGTCTTATCGTCAGATATCCGCAGACCGTCACGACGTACCACTCGTCCAGCAACCAAGTTTTAGCACAGAGGCTAAGGACGAATACAACCCGCCTATTATTATTTAGTGTATACGCGAGGGTGGTATATGAGTATGATTACGCAGATCTAGTATGTGTGTTTCCGCCCGATCTCCTGTTCTCCGTTGAGTTGTGGACCTGGGGCGGAGTCGCACATCCGACAGTCCTACTAATCCTAATTATATACGGCTTGTATACACGAGGTAATGATAGATGGACCAAGTATGAATCCTATCAAGAACACCAGGGCAAGTTGCCAGGTCTACGAGTGAGTATTCTGCAAATCAGAAGAGCGCAACCCCAGTAGTAATGCTAAGAGAGCTAATTTCGGGACGAAATTCATTCTAATGGGGGGATGATGTGACAACCCAAAAATTTCCATTCAGTGAAACCATCCAGTTCAATAGAAGCCAAGTCTGTTTCTGCTAACTTTCAAGCTTATTGGAATAAGTTTGAGTGTCTTCAAGTTAGTGCTTCAAAGAATATCAGGAGAGAGGGTACCCTAGGGTTTATTACGTAACATTAAATGTCCAAAACTTCAAGAGTTTGGAATTTACCGTCCAAAAATGATATTTGGGCCAAAAACCCCCGAGACTATATAAGGAAAACTTAGCCATTTGGAATTCATTTGTTACATTTCTAGCTAGAGAAAATTCGATTTTCTCTCTCAAGGATCTTCACCCGATCACCCCTAACTATAAGTACTTCAACCTAGAGTGTATATAAGTGTGTTATATGCCTTAATAACATGAAAATCAAGTCAAAACAACAAGATTTGGGAGTTTACCGCCCAAGAACATCTTGGAGAGTAAACTCCTTTATAAGGACCAAAGTGTGCCCAATGTCCCTCCAAGCCTTGGGACTAAACATAGAGACTACCATTACTTGTTTTAGACCCCCAAAACATTAAGAAACAAGGCAAGAAGTGAGTTCACGGCCAAGGAAGTTCTTGGGCCGTGAACTCCATTTTAGGGTGCAAAAATGCCCTAAATGCCTTCCACAAGCCAAGAGACAAGCATAGCACTTTACCATGATGTGTCTAGGACCCAAAACAACCAAAATAACAACACCCATAGGTGTTTACGGCCGAAAGCTTGTGACCAAATGGTCCATGGGCCGTAAACTCAAGATAAGAGTGTTTTGATGCCACAAACACTTCCTAAGGCTTAGGCATGAATTTAGAATGCTTCCTTATGAACTTTAGGACCCTCATAAGTATAATTGGCCATGAGTTTATGGTAGTAAACTCATTTGGGCCGTGAACACCTCAAAAACTCCAAAGAAGGTGGTCTTTCTCATCCTAGGCTAGAGCTAATGTCCCTAAATCATTCCCTAGCTTTCATACTTGTATTCCCACATGTGTAGCCATGAGTTTACGGCCGTAAACTCCCTTGGGCCGTGAACTCATGGTAGTAAACTCATATGTTTGCCTTATACCTTCCTATGTTGAATCACATGTGATTCCAACACTTGGTCAAGGTGTTTCCTAGTCCCGGAAGGTGTTATCTTTCGTATAGTTGTTTATAAACACCATATTCATGTCATTATGTGTCCTTAAATATCATTTAGGACTTATTGTGTCTCGGAATTTCATTCGTGGAACTTCTCATCCGTACGCGCATACCCGTTTGAATCACCCACATCAGGTGAGTTCATACCCCGTAATGAATCTTTTAACTATTTTAATTGTTTTAAGGGGGGGGATACAAGTTGAACACAATGATAATTGTGTAAATGTTTGTTATAAACATCTTTCAAAATGTTACTTATGTTATTTATAAGTTGTTAAAACATTTCAAAACTCTTTTAAAGGTTATGTTACTTTATAGTTATACATAACTCCATTTTAAAGTATAAGCATAACTTTGTAGATAAATGAGTCTTTTCAGTAACAGTCCAGTTAGAGCATTAGTAAGCTATTATAGGTATAGTTTAAGAGAATGCTATTCATTACTTCTAGTACAATGAAGCACACAAAGAGTCAATATCAGAACAGAACAGAAAAGAACAACACCAGAACAGAACAACACCAGAACAGAACATAACAAACAAGTTAATTTGCTATAGCATGACAACACGCAGACAGGATCTAACTTTAATGTGAATTACACGGCTTGCATGGATTTGCTCGGGTCGCGTTTGGTTCCCTCAATCTCCATATATGAGAGCGGTTAGTAGGGGTTCCAGCTTTCACATTATGACCGTAATAAAACAAATATGTTTTTAGGTTGATAATACCTCCGTATGTCATTATAAACGACATCAGGGTACTCATTTCTCCCATTACTTTCATAAAGTGTCGGTAACACTTGAAGGTTAATATATTCTCTATTCGAGATAGGTTATAAACTAGGGAGAATGTACTTTTCAGTTGACAAAGGAACAGTAGAGTCTTGGTAGAAGACTGCTTTCATAACAGTAGAGTCTTGGTAGAAGACTGCTTTCAAAACAATCGAGTCTTGGTAGAAGGCTACTTTAAAAGTTAGGACCATAATGCTAATCTTATGATTCCTTAATGTATACACTATAGGATACATATATGCTAATAGATTCCGACAGCTAATAGGATGTGTGTTTTCCGCCTCATTGCCTGTTCTCGTTGGATTATGGTCTTGAACTGAGTTCCCACAATATATTATCTACCCGAATCTATATATATTTATGCTTAGTATACATTAAGTCATCATAAGGGTACCAAGTATGGATCAGGTTATAAGTCACAGAGTCGAAGCACAGTTTTTCTAGTACAAAACATACTTTTCAAAGTCAGTACTTTTGATATACAAAACTAGAGATTTCCCAGATAAGGGCTTAATCCATTTTAATTAAGCCAGTACAGTTTTAGAGACTTTAGGTGAATTAAGTTTATAACACCTTGGTTTATACACCATGTTTATATATAAGACTAATATCCAATAGATAATTAAATGTGTGTTTTCCCCCGACGTCCTGTTCCCGTTGGATGTGGGCTTAGGGCAGATTCCCCCAATTAACTATCTACCCGATATCAGATTATATATAGCAGTATAAACAAAGCTATTATAAAAGTAATCACCGTAGTCAATATTTTATTATAAGAAAAATAGGTTTTCTTGAAAGAACTATCCTTTAGATATAACGGAACAATTACAAATAACTCCATGAGTAACAAGTGAATACACCAAGGTTATATATGACAACGATCTAATAACCAATGGAATGTGTGCTATCCGCCCTACTTACTGTTCCCCGTTGGGTTGTGAGTTTAGGGCAGATGCGCACAATCGATTGTTTATTTACTCTGAGTATATATAACTTGTACCCACTTAGTACGCATAGAAAGGCTTGTAATGTCATTTTACTTAACTTCCATTAAAGTAGGAAATATAGGATTTTCTAGAGGAACAGGCGAACTTTTCAAAACAGAACTTACAGCATACAATACTTTTACATATACATTTTCAAACAACACTTTACAACTTACTCACATCACTAAAATCTTATGAACTCACCAGCTTAATTGTTGATCAACTCTTTCAAATAACTTGTATTCTCAGGAGGCTATTAGACAGGTGCTCGTGCTGGGGATTTAGAAGATGAAGCATTTCAGCTTCAAGTCTTATTTTGTTATTTGTGTATGAATTCTATGTTTGTGAACACACTTTGTAAACACTTTCTTTTGAAATGAAATGGTTGTTTATTACTTGCTTACCATATACATATCTCGTGATACTTAACATGACGTCCTCCGCCCCCGAACGTTTCTGCCGTTCCGGTTTTGGGGTGTGACACCATTCCCGCACAAAACATATTGATATACGTTATCACTGGCTTAGAGAAGCAATTGAGGGATGAGAATTGAAGTTGTTAAAGATCAATACCAACAAAAATCCTGCAGACATGTTGACAAAGGTGGTGACACAAGAGAAACACAGAATATGTGCTGACATAGTTGGGATGAGGATTATTGGACGAAGACTGGAGGGGGAGATTTGTTGTGTTCCAGCCTCCAAAGCTACAATAGCCATTTTTGTTGACAAAATGATACCTAGGGTGGCAAAGTCTTCCCACCCTATGATGAACACAATTAATAGACGCAACTACAATGGTGGCTGCCAAGACTATAAATAGAGGCTTCATTCTTCAGTTGTATGCATCCCAAATACAGATAAACAAATGGTATAACACTTAGAGTGAGAGTGTTAGTGAGAGGGTTGGTTTTTTGTAACAGTTGAGTGTGAGAGTTGCTCCTCCTATTGTAATTTTATTTTAGTGTTTAATAGAAGAGTTTTCCGACCCCAACAAAGAGTTACCGAGGCAACGCCTGCTTTTCTGTTTCTATCTTTTATATTTATATTTATATTTATTTTCATTTTCATTTTCATGACTTGTACATGTTACTTTTCAGTAAATTGGGTCCTCGTTGTCATTGTCAGGTGGTGGTTATGCTTTTGATCCTGCTCAAGTGCGTCACACCTTTAGAGCAGCCGGGGAAAGGTTCTTGCAGCGTGTATGTTTCTTGTTCTTGTATTTATTTATTTTATGACACACATGTTGAGTTGAGTAAATTGATTGAGGCTTCCTTTACATACAGTATGTAAATTTGAGAACCCAAAGGATTTCTGTTCTTTTGAAGAAGAGGCTGACAACACCGAATTGGGTCAAGGTTTGTCCCATTTCACATCTTGCTCTGCTGTTATAATATGAATATGCATGAATTGATTTATCTTTGTGGCAAACATGTTGACAACATAAAGAACCAAGAGAAGTTCATATGTTTGTGGATATGTTTCGTCAAGAGGTATGTTGAGCATATAATAATAATAAGTATGGATGTATGTATTTAATGATGTGTCGTGGGTGTGGCAGTTGGGGGCAGTAGGAAGAGAAGTGAAGCATATATTAGGTGAAGGAGGAGGGGTTGTGCGTAAACATGCGCGCACGGAGAGCAATGGAAGCACAAGCTCTTCACGCAGCAATACTAATACTAATACTAATAATAATAACCGTTCAAACACCAACAGGGCTAGGAGTCAGCTCCTGGAAACTCATCTGGCAAAGCTGTTTAAACAAAAAATGGAAATCTTCACAAAAGTCCAACACACACAGGTAGTTAGGTATTTGCTTATTTTAGGTAGTAGATAGATAGATAGATAATAAATCAACTAATAAGAATTTTGGTTGCAGGAATCTGTTGTGATGAGCATTGTGAAACTTTGCCTGAAAAGCTTCCAGGAGTTTGTTAGGCTTCAGACATTTAATCGGAGTGGGTTCCAGCAGATTCAGTTGGACATGCAGTACCTCAGAACCACCCTCAAAGACACAACTGATTCTGAAGATGAGGCTGCTCTTGAATTCCTGCTTGATGAGGTACTTTACCCCTCCACTAAAATAAATACTCCAATATCTTTGCATCTATGTGTTTTTGTTTTTGATGTTTTCCTTTTGGGGTTGGGGTTGGGGTTGGGGTTAAACAAAACAGGTGATTGTTGCTGCTGCAGAACGTTGCCTTGATCCTAGTCCTCTGGAGCCTGCCATCCTAGACAGACTTGTACAACTCAAATTGGCTAGATAGGCCCACCAATGTATCCATTTCCAATTCCAATTCCAAATCCAATCCAGGGATTTAAAAAAAAAAGAGAGCAGCATATCTGTTTGTTGTATGCTTGTGTTATATATAGAGAGAGTGAGAGAGAGAGCATCACAGGTGTAGTGTGGTTGGTGGTCCAATTCCAATCAAATCCATGGTGTTGGGGTCTGGATTCTTGTTTTCATATACAAAAATTAAATACCAAGTAAACTGTTTATTCGGATCATATCCATCGGTGCATTCCAAATAATTTGTTAAAAAGATAATGACATCAAACACCAATTTAATGGTTGATTTAAGAGAAACAAATAACAATTACTCATTTATCATCACTTACTCTAGACAAAAGAAAAGGAGAGCGATCCTATGAGTTTGTAATTTTTAGGGTGGTGATAATCTGATTTGAGCCACCAGTCTAAATACACCACACATACAAATCAATTCTTCCCCTTCTATCTTATATGTATGTGGTATTCGATTATTTAGTAGGGACCGATCAAGGAATTCATTGTGTTTTGTTTTGTTAATTCATTTTCTCTTATACAATAAAAGCACACGGTGTAATGGTGTATGCATTATGTAGTAGGTTCTGTGAATTTACTTGCATCACTTAATACAAGATAAGATGCCAAATCCTAAACATGTATTTTCATCATCAAATCATTTGATTTACTTCTGAAATATAAACCGTTATCAACTAACTACATTGAACAAAATGAAATATCATGAAAAATTCCTTTGATTTATTTTTTATGTGTTGTAAACATTGGCAAACGTAAATTGTTTTAGTGGTCATATATTCAAAAACCAATCCATATACTATTTTTTAAAACACTTGAACTCACACCTTCATAATCACATAGCCTCGTTTCATTTCATACCATTGGACCAAATGACTCTTGGCAAATGGTTGAGGTTTATTAATACCATTCAGATTTTTATGAATTTTAATTGTTTATTCAACCGGACCACTGATATTGACAAAAAATTTATAAGCTTTGAATCTAATTTGTTCAGTTGTTTTTTTTCTTAAAAAAATCATAATAAAAATATGATTGCTGGAATTCATATGGGAAAAGGAGCAAGTGTAGTGTGGGTTCTTTTTTCTCGACTATACTCTCTTTTCAACATAAAAAATAAGAAAATTTGTTAATCAAGATTAGAGTACTTGTAGGCTGTAGCTTGCTTGCCAAGAGCCCAAGAATATACAAAGGTAAAAGCCCAGTGAGTCATGTAATGGGCTTTTGATCCAGCTGACGGCTCACGCTTTACCGTTTTGGGCCGAAATGAGACTCTAACTGATACAGTAATCTCATTTTCCCGCCAAAAAGCCAGCCTCCATCCCCATTTAGGCGCCAAATCTCATCTCCGTTTCCCGCAAAATACTTCTACTTCCTCCTCCTCCTCCTCCTCATCCTCCTCTCTCTCTAACTCACTCACTGTTTCCTCTGAAAATTTGGTCGGTTGAATTGCTGAAACCGGCGGCACAATGAAGGACCTTGATTTTAGCCGGGACAAAGGTATGCTTTCCATATGCTAAACCTACTCCCTGTCGATCAACTCTGTAATTGCTAATTGTCCGTTCATTTTTGTTCTTATGCAACAGATCTAGCGAAAGATTTTCTTCAAAACTTCACTGATGCAGATGGCGAAGCCAAATATATTAGCATCCTTGTAGGTTTTTTCCTATTGTCTAGGGCACATAAAGATTTCTTTGACGTTTTATGTACTTATTTACTTTGCGATTTTTCCTACACAGCAAGATGTCGCGAATCGGAAACTGAAAGCAATAGAAATTGACCTCGAAGATCTGTTTCATGTATATTCCTTGTTCATGACCTTTATTTAGTACCTTATTACGACGTAAGTTCTAAGATTTGATGCTTAACACCCTTTTCATATTGTTTTGGAGCAGTACAAGGATTTGGATGAGGAGTTTGTGGGACGAGTTACCGAGAACACCCGGAGATATGTTGGAATTTTTGCTGATGCTATTGATGAGTTGATCCCTGAGCCAACGGAGGCTATTCAGGAGGACGATTCTGACGTATTTCACACACAACGAGCCGAGGAAGGCAATGAGAATCCTGATGGGACTGACCCAAGACAGAAGATGCCCCCAGAAATTAGGCGTTTTTAGTAAGTATAAACTAGGTGTTTTTTCTTCTTAAATTGGTTATGGTTTTCAAGAAAATGCGCTACTTTTATCACTATACTAAATTGATTTCCGACATCTTTACCTAAGTTGCTTCTATTTGACAAGCAACTTTGAAATGGGTCCATCATTGCATTTGATTCATTGTCCAAATTGTTTTGTAGGTGTATTATCTGTTTATGTATAGAAATTATGTCAACATGCTAATTGCTTGAGAAAATTAACGTTTTTGTGCTAGTTACACTTTTTGCCAAGTTTCTAATGCTCATTGTTTGTAATTCAGCGAAGTTTACATCAAAGCTTCCTCCAAGGTCCAACCATTTACCATTACGGAGGTTAGGGCTTCACATATTGGCCAGCTTGTCAAGATATCTGGCATTGTGACTCGCTGTTCAGATGTAAAACCATTGATGAAGGTTGCTGTGTACACATGTGAAGAGTGTGGTTTTGAAATATATCAGGTATGTATGTAATCATGCCCAATCCAGCATGTGGGATTTTTTTTAAACATTGCTCGCCTGGACATCATACGTTTTTGCCTTTATAACATGCTATCTCTATGAAACAGGAAGTAACTGCTCGAGTGCTCATGCCTCTATTCGAATACCCATCTAAGCGTTGTCAGGTTAACCGGGCAAAAGGACACCTTATCCTCCAACTCAGAGCTTCAAAGTTTTTAAAATTTCAAGAGGTCAGTTCAAGATACCTTTTTGCAGTGATTTTCACATTTTGTGCAATGGGAGATGTTTTTTAAAGCTCCTCAAATTTGTTCTCTTACATGGGATGTTACAATGATAAATTTCAGGCCAAAATTCAAGAGCTTATTGAACATGTTCCTAAAGGTCATATTCCTCGTGCAATGACTGTTCACTTTCGAGGGGAACTTACAGGAAAGGTTGTTTTTTATGAAGATTGCTTAATTTTCATTTTTTTAATATTGATACTAGCTTTTAAAGCTAACTGCCAATATTGTTAACACTTGTGAAACCTACTTAAACTTTCAGGTATCCCCAGGAGATGTTGTTGAGTTATCTGGAATATTTCTCCCTATTCCTTATGCTGGGTTTAGAGAAATGCGAGCAGACTTAGTGGCAGATACATACTTGGAGACTATGTCTATTTCCCATTTTAAGAAAAAATACGAAGAGTAAGCAACTACTAGATTTATATGGTCATAAGCATCTTTTTTTAGTATTTCATCTGTCCCAAAAACTATCAAACATTTGAAGTTATATAGCTAAATGGAGAAATCTTGTGGACCACAATTAATTTCAATATTTTGTGATGGTTGTTTATGAAAAAAAGGGGGTAAATTTGAATTGTTTTTTTTTCCAAGAAGTAAAAATGTTGCAATCTAACCTCTTGTTTTTGGGACCCATAGAACACGTAATAGAAAATATTCCTTGTAAAGTTGTGATGCATTTGGTGGTTGAAGATTTATTTTGGTATTGTGCAGCTATGAACTGAAAGGGGTTGAGGAAGAACAAATAGCTCGGTTAGCTGAGGATGGTGACATATACAACAAGCTGGCTCGATCATTGGCTCCTGAGATATTTGGACATGAAGATATCAAGACATGCATATATTTTTTAATATGAACAAAGGATAAAAGTGTAATGCTTTGGTTGGTTTTCTTCTGATTTGAACTGCCAGACACTCTCCTGCAAATTTAAAAGGAAGATGGCACAGGCAAGGAGTATCCTTTGGGAGCTGCCCTTGAGGCCACCAAAAATACTTTAAATCAAGGCAGTATAAAACTCTTATTGGTAAATCATACATACATACATACATACATACATACATACATACATACATACATACATACATACATACATACATACATGTGTATTATTAATTATTTGATATTGTACATGTGGAAGTTTCCTTCAAACTTCAACATTGGATGATTTCTAGAATACCATTCTACACATGTGGTTTTAATTTGTCAAGAATGGGTGGTAGCATGTTTGTCAAGAATGGATGGTAGCATGTTTGTCAAGCTTGGATGCTAATAGACAATTGAATTCATACATTCATTTGCCTATAAAAGGAAATGAAACCAAGCTTATTAAAAATACCACACCTCAAATTACATCTTCATCTTTCTCTCATATTCATACAAATATATGTTTGATATATTTGTTTTTCTTTCCTCTATCTCTGTAAAAACTGAATATTATAGTAAATTAGTTATCGGCTTCCTCCGCCCGTGGTTTTTCCCGATTTGGGTTTCCACGTAAATATCGCGTGTTTTTTCTTTTTATCGTTCGATTTATTCTTGGTTGATTATTCAAATAGTTTTATATTCCGTTGAATCGCTATCGTGATATTTGGGTTTTATACTTCGATCTTGAAGTTATCGATTATTTATTGTAGTCGATTTGTCTACAATTGGTATCAGAGCTATCCGGGTTTTCCGATAACGATTCGTAAAAACTATTTTCAACCATGTCATCGATGAAGTACGATATTCCTTTACTTGACAGAAACACAAGATTCCCTCTCTGGCAAGTAAAGATGAAAGATGTGTTGATCCAAATGGATCTCCACAAAGCACTATTAGGAATGGAGAAAATGTCGGCAACTTGTTCGACTGAGGAAAAGGAGATGAAAGATCTGAAGGCGTCGTCGCAGATCCATCTGCATCTTTCTAACGACGTTCTCCAAGATGTGTTGAAAGAGACATCCGCAGCGGCTCTCTGGCTAAAACTCGAGCAGCTACTTATGACGAAAAGCTTGCCCAACAAGCTACACTTGAAGCAACGACTTTTTAACCTAAAGATGGGTGAAGGTAGTTCTTTGTCTGATCACCTCTCTACCTTTAAAGAGCTTGTAGGAAATCTGGAGAATATGGACGTCAAATACGAAGATGAAGACTTGGCGTTATTTTTATTATCTTCTCTCCCAGACTCCTACGATCACTTTCGTGACACCATTATCTATTCTCGGGACACTCTTGTCCTTGACGAGGTAATGACTGCTCTTGATTCAAAGGAAAAGATGAAGCAGATAGTTGGGAACAGTAGCAGCGATTCTAAAGCCGAAGGTCTCAACATCAGAGGGAGACCTAACGAGAGAGGTAGCTCTTCACAAAACCGATCTAGATCTAAGTCCAAAGCCAATCGCAAGTATTGCAATTATTGCCACAAGAAGGGACATCTGATCGATGAATGTTTCAAGTTAAAGAACAAGGAGAAAGCTAAGGCAATCGCAAAGGGAAAAACAACCAATAACATCGTTGAAGCCGATGTTGCCGAAACTGGTTCCGATGGCGAGCTTCTCTCCGTTTCAGACTACGGTTTAATGACCACAAGTGAGTGGGTATTTGATTCAGCGTGTACTTTTCATATGAGCTCCAACCGAAGCGTTTTTCATTCATATGAAAAGGTTAACGAAGGCCACGTTCTAATGGGTAACGACACTTCGTGTCGTATTATTGGACGGGGTACACTCAGGTTCCGCATGTTCGATGGCGTTGTTCGAACGATTCAAGATGTGAAGCACGTATCCGGTCTTAGGCGAAATTTACTAAGTCTCGGTACTTTCGAGAAGAAAGGTTACGAGTTTGTTGGCAAAGACGGGAAACTCCATATTTTCAAGGAAGGTTCTGTGGTCATCCGAGGAGTTAGAAAATCCGCAAACCTTTACATTATGGATGGTCAAGTTATCTCCGGCGAAGTCTCGGTATGTTCTAAATCCCTCTCCAACGCTGATCGCTCTCGTCTATGGCACCTCAGGCTCGCTCACATGTCATACCATGGTATGAATGAACTAAGTCGAAGGGGGTTGCTCGGGGAGCACAAATCAATCGAACTTGAATTCTGTGAAGATTGTGTATTTGGAAAGCAGAAGCGAGTGAGTTTTATCGGTGGCAAACATACGACGAAAGGGCCACTTGACTACATACACTCTGATTTATGGGGACCAGCGAAGGTTACATCGAAAGGTGGAGCCTCTTATATGCTCACGATCATTGACGATTTCTCAAGAAAGGTATGGTCGTTCTTCTTGAAGTCAAAGGGAGAAGTATTCCAAACTTTTAGAGATTGGAAAGTATTGGTTGAAAAGCAATCAGGTTTTGAAGTGAAATACCTTCGTACTGATAATGGACTGGAATTTTGTTCTGAAGAATTCAACTCCTATTGTCGTAGGGAAGGAATTACGAGGCATCGCACCGTAGTTCATACACCACAGCAGAACGGCGTAGCGGAACGTATGAACCGCACCATCATGGAGAAGGTCCGATGCATGCTATCTCATTCGAAGTTGCCGAAGTCTTTTTGGGCCGAGGCCGCTTCAACCGCATGCTACATTATCAACTGTTCCCCTTCTCGTGCTATTCAAAAGAAGACCCCATTTGAGCTTTGGTCCGGCCAACCTGCTGATTACACGAAATTGATTCCATTTGGATGTCCAGCATATGCCCGAGTTGATAACGGTAAATTGGAACTGAGGGCAATTAAATGCGTCTTTCTCGGATATCCGACAGGTGTTAAAGGGTTCAAATTATGGAGCCCGGAGCTAAGCAAGGTTTTGACATCTAAAGATGTGACCTTCGATGAAAAAGCCATGCTTCATCCTGTCTCCAACATTCAGACCAGAGAAAATGAAAATTCGGAAAAAGACAAAGTTCGAGTGGAGGTGGAGTTTCCTTTAAATTCATCTTTCGAGGACCAGTCTCATGAAGGTGTCGAGGTTTCTCAACCCTCGAATAATCAACATTCCTCTTCTCATGAGCCAGCCGAAGCTCCAAGCCAACCTCACAGTCCCTCCATTGCAAGAGATAGACCTCGCAGACAGATTGTACCTCCAAAGAGATATGTTCAAGCCAATTTTGTCGCTTATGCACTTACAGTTGCCAATGAAGTTGAGTCTGTTCTGGAGCCCACAAGCTACAACGAGGCCATTCAATCCAAACATTCTAATAAGTGGATGGTTGCCATGCACGAGGAGATGGAATCTCTTCAGAAAAATGGCACATGGGATCTCGTTCCAGCTCCAAAGGGTAAGAAGACAGTTAAGTGCAAATGGGTCTACAAGTTGAAGGAGGCTATCCACCCTGGTGACAAACCAAGATATAAAGCTCGTTTGGTAGCCAAAGGCTACAGTCAAATCCCAGGTTCGATTATACTGACATTTTCTCTCCGGTTGTGAAACACACGTCAATACGTGTCTTGTTGGGATTAGTTGCCTCTCATGACTATGAATTAGAGCAACTTGATGTTACTACAACATTCTTAAATGGTGTGCTTGAGGAAGAGATATATATGCAACAACCTGAAGGTTTTGTAGCTCCTGGCAAGGAAAGCTACGTGTGCAAATTGAAGAAGTCTCTTTATGGCCTCAAGTAATCTCCTCGACAATGGTATAAAAGGTTTGACTCATTTATGACCAGTCACAAGCTGAAAAGGTGCACCTACGACAGCTGCGTTTACTACAAAAAGTGTGACGATGGTTCAATGGTCTATCTACTTTTATACGTGGATGACATGTTAATTGCAGCGAAGAATATAAAGGAGATTCAAAAGATAAAATACCAGTTGAATGCTGAGTTCGATATGAAGGACTTGGGTGCTGCCAAGAAAATTCTAGGAATGGAAATAGTGCGAGACCGTAGTGCAAGAACTCTATACCTTTCTCAACAAAGCTACATTGAGAAGGTTCTGCACCGTTTCAATATGCATGACGCAAAAGAAGTCAGCACTCCTTTCGCAGCCCACTTCAAGCTATCATCCGCCTTAAGTCCTACCACCGAAGAAGATATAGCATACATGGCAAAGGTACCATACTCCAGCGCTGTAGGATCTCTTATGTATGCTATGATTTGTACACGTCCAGATTTGTCATATGCGGTAAGCATGGTGAGCAGATACATGGCGAATCCAGGAAAGGAGCATTGGGTTGCTGTTAAATGGATTTTTCGCTACTTGCGAGGTACTTCCTCTTTATGTCTGCGGTTTGGAAAAACCGATAATGGAGTACTTGGTTATGTGGATTCCGATTATGCAAAGGACTTGGATAAAAGACGATCGATTACAGGGTACGTGTTTACTTTGGGTGATTGCGCAGTTAGCTGGAAAATGCAGTTACAATCTACTGTAGCGTTATCCACCACTGAAGCCGAATACATGGCTGCTACGGAAGCAGTGAAGGAAGCCCTCTAGTTGAAACGGTTGATAGGTGAGCTTTCAAACAAGTTATCTGTTAACACTGTTTTTTGTGACAATCAAAGTGCAATATTTCTGACGAAGGATCAAATGTTCCATGATCGAACGAAGCATATTGATGTTCGTTATCACTTCATCAGAGATGTTATTGCTAAAGGCGATATTACAGTAAACAAGATCAGCACCAATGATAATCCTGCTGATATGTTCACTAAAAGTCTTCCAAAAGCCAAATTCAAAGCATGTTTGGATTTGGTGGGTGTTTCAGATCGCATTTGAGCCTGATAGGCTCGTGGTGGAGGAAGTATATTTACTTTTCAAAATCAATTTTTTCTCATATGGTGTTTGCAGATTCTTATAGAGATTTGGAGTATGATGAGCTGTTGATAAACTGTTTTGCATGATCATTGTGCAAGTTAAAGTTTTTTCATCCTGTCTCATTTGAAGTCAAGGTGGAGATTGTGGAAGTTTCCTTCAAACTTCAACATTGGATGATTTCTAGAATACCATTCTACACATGTGGTTTTAATTTGTCAAGAATGGGTGGTAGCATGTTTGTCAAGAATGGATGGTAGCATGTTTGTCAAGCTTGGATGGTAATAGACAATTGAATTCATACATTCATTTGCCTATAAAAGGAAATGAAACCAAGCTTATTAAAAATACCACACCTCAAATTACATCTTCATCTTTCTCTCATATTCATACAAATATATGTTTGATATATTTGTTTTTCTTTCCTCTATCTCTGTAAACACTGAATATTATAGTAAATTGGTTATCGGCTTCCTCCGCCCGTGGTTTTTCCCGATTTGGGTTTCCACGTAAATATCGCGTGTTTTTTCTTTTTATCGTTCGATTTATTCTTGGTTGATTATTCAAATAGTATTATATTCCGTTGAATCGCTATCGTGATATTTGGGTTTTATACTTCGATCTTGAAGTTATCGATTATTTATTGTAGTCGATTTGTCTACAGTACAATTGATGTGGGTGTAGGATTTCCGTGTTTTTCTTGATGAAGAGTTGGGATTGATATTGAAGCTAAGAGACATGATGATTGGTTGGATACATGAAGGGTTTCAGAGGTTCTTCAGACGACTTAATGATGAGTTACTGTTGCTCTCAGGACAAAATGTTAATGTTAATTTTGTACAACAACAAGAACAAGAGCAGCAGCAGTATGAGAGGTTACAAGGTGACAAGGTCCCTGCTGGGGCTGTACTTGTGATATCCCAGCTATCTGTTTTCATTGAAAGAGAAGCCATCTCAAGAGTTACCGAGGCAACGCCTGCTTTTCTGTTTCTATCTTTTATATTTATATTTATATTTATTTTCATTTTCATTTTCATGACTTGTACATGTTACTTTTCAGGAAATTGGGTCCTCGTTGTCATTGTCAGGTAGTGGTTATGCTTTTGATCCTGCTCAAGTGCGTCACACGTTTAGAGCAGCCGGGGAAAGGTTCTTGCAGCGTGTATGTTTCTTGTTCCTGTATTTATTTATTTATGACACACATGTTGAGTTGAGTAAATTGATTGAGGCTTCCTTTACATACATTATGTAAATATGAGAACCCAAAGGATTTCTGTTCTTTTGAAGAAGAGGCTGACAACACCGAATTGGGTCAAGGTTTGTCCCATTTCACATCTTGCTCTGTTGTTATAATATGAATATGCATGAATTAATTTATCTTTGTGGCAAACATGTTGACAGCATAAAGAACCAAGAGAAGTTCATATGTTTGTGGATATGTTTCTTCAAGAGGTATGTTGAGCATATAATAATAATAAGTATGGATGTATGTATTTAATGATGTGGCGTGGGTGTGGCAGTTGGGGGCAGTAGGAAGAGAAGTGAAGCATATATTAGGTGAAGGAGGAGGGGTTATGCGTAAACATGCGCGCACGGAGAGCAATGGAAGCACAAGCTCTTCACGCAACAATACTAATACTACTAATAATAATAATAATAATAATAATAATCGTTCAAACACCAACAGGGCTAGGAGTCAGCTCCTGGAAACTCATCTGGCAAAGCTGTTTAAACAAAAAATGGAAATCTTCACAAAAGTCCAACACACGCAGGTAGTTAGGTATTTGCTTATTTTAGGTAGTAGATAGATAGATAATAAATCAACTAATAAGAATTTTGGTTGCAGGAATCTGTTGTGATGAGCATTGTGAAACTTTGCCTGAAAAGCTTCCAAGAGTTTGTTAGGCTTCAGACATTTAATCAGAGTGGGTTCCAGCAGATTCAATTGGACATGCAGTACCTCAGAACCACCCTCAAAGACACCACTGATTCTGAAGATGAGGCTGCTCTTGAATTTCTGCTTGATGAGGTACTTTACCCCTCCACTAAAATAAATACTCCAATATCTTTGCATCTATGTGTTTTTGTTTTTGATGGTTTCCCTTTGGGGTTGGGGTTGGGGTTAAACAAAACAGGTGATTGTTGCTGCTGCAGAACGTTGCCTTGATCCTAGTCCTCTGGAGCCTGCCATCCTAGACAGACTTGTACAACTCAAATTGGCTAGATAGGCCCACCAATGTATCCATTTCCAATTCCAATTCCAAATCCAATCCGGGGATTTTTTTTCTTTTTTTAAAAAGAGAGCAGCATATCTGTTTGTTGTATGCTTGTGTTATATATAGAGAGAGTGAGAGAGAGCATCACAAGTGTAGTGTGGTTGGTGGTCCAATTCCAATCAAATCCATGGTGTTGGGGTCTAGATTCTTGTTTTCATATACAAAAATTAAATACCAAGTCAACTGTTTATTCGGATCATATCCATCCATGTATTGTATTTAGATTGGTGGCTCAATTCAGATTATCACCACCCTAAAAATTAGAAACTCATAGGATCGGTCTCCTTTTCTATTGTCTAGAGTAAGTGATGATAGATGAATAATTGTTTGGGGAAAATACTAATCTAGCCAAATACACTAATTATCTATCTAAAATTAGCCAAAAAAAAAACATATTAGCCAAAACTAGCCCACAAAATAGTAGATAGGCTAGGGTTGACTACGGTCAACATTCGAAAACTACTCTTTCGTCGCAACGGACTACTCTTTCGTGGCCCGTCTACTGTTTTGTGGTCCAGTGGGTCATAGTATATAATGTCTTATTTTTCTTCATTTTTTATTCCATTGTCTATTATTTTCTCTCAATAGAGCACCCGAAGAACAACGAGGTACGTCCATTTTTAATCAAAATTTTATCGTATTGTTGATTAGGAGTAGTTTTTGTATATGGGGATAACTTTTTTTTTGAAAAAAACCGAAAAAAAAAAATTAAAATTCTTACGAAATTACGGTGTACAAGTCCACACTGCACAGATTGTGCAGTGTGGACTACGAAACCTACCGTTTTAAATTTTTTTTTTTTCAGTTTTTTTCAAAAAAAAAAGTTATCCACATATAAAAAAACTATTCCTAATCAACAATACGGTAAAATTTTGATTAAAAATGGACGTACCTCGTTGTTCTTCGAGTGCTCCATTGAGAGAAAATAGTAGACAATTGAAGAAATATTAGTCAAGTTTAGTAAAAAAGTAGTAAATTTTAGCAAAAAGTAGTCAAATTTACCTAAAAAGTAGTCAAATTTACCAAAAAAAAAGTCAACAATTTCAAAAAAGCAAAAAACCAATTTTATATTTTACAAAAAATATTTTTTAACAAAATAATTGTCAAAAAACTACTCTACATTTTACAAACAATATTTTTAATCAAAATAATTCTCTAAAAAATACTCTCTATTAAAAAAAACCGTAGCTTTTTAACCCAAAACCGTAGACTTCAACCAAAAACCTGTAATTTTCATTAAAAAAAACATAGATTTAACCAAAAACCGTAGGCTACGGTTTGGAAAACCGTATTTATAAAGAGAAAACCGTAAGTTTTAAAAAAACCTACGGTTTTATATCTTCAAAATGAATTATTTATTTATTTATTTATTTATTTTTTATACTAAACACGAAATAGTAGACGAATTAGTGAAACAGTAGACGATTTTAAATACCTACGGTTTCGTGGGCTATTTTGGGACAATTCCTAATTTTTGGCTAAAAATGGTTAATTACTTCCTTAATTTGGTTAGATTAGTAATTAGTGATAATTGTTATTTGTTTCTCTTTAATCAACCATTAAATTGGCATTTCATGTCATTATCTTTTTAACAAATTATTTGGAATGCACCAAACATACTAATCAATTGTTCCCCTTCTATCTTATATGTATGTGGTATTCGATTATTTTGTAGGGACCGATCAAGGAATTCATTGTGTTTTGTTAATTCATTTTCTCTTATACAATACAAGCACACAGTGTATGTGTTTGTAGTAGGTTCTGTGAATTACTCGCAAACACAAGATAAGATGCCAAGTCCTAAACATGTATTTTCATCATCAAATCATTTGATTTACTTCTAAAATATAAACTGTTGTCAACTACCTACATTGAACAAAATGAAATATCATGAAACATTCCTTTGATTTATCTTTTATATGTTGTGAACATTGGCAAACGTAAATTGTTTTGGTGGTCATATATTCAGAAACCAATCCATATATTATTTTTTAAAACATTTGAACTCACACCTTCATAATCACATAGTCTCGTTTCATTTCATACCATTGGATCAAAGGACTCTTGGCAAATGGTTGAGGTTTATTAATACGATTTAAACTTTTATGAATTTTAATTGTTTATTCAACCGGACCACTGATATTGACAAAAAATTACAAGATTTGAATCTAATTTGTTCACTTGTTTTTTTTTTCTTAAAAAAATCATAATAAAAAATATGATTGCTGGAATTCATATGGGAAAATGAGCAAGTGTAACGAGGGTTCTTTTTTTGGACTATACTCTCTTTTTAACATAAAAAATAGACAAAACTGTACAAATGGTCATTGTGGTTAGCTGAAAATTGCCACTTTTGTCCAAAAAGTTTTGGACTAACACAGAGGCCCAAACTTTTCATTTTGTTGCGAGTTTGGTCCAGTTTTCTATAAAGTTTTTCATAATGACTATTTTGCCCTTGTTTTTTTTTCCTTTTTCAGTTTTTTATTATTTAAATACTTTTTTTATTAAAAGAAAAAATAAAAAAGAAAATTTGCATTTTCTATTTTATTTTTATATTTTTTTATAACAAAATAAAAATGAAATATTTTTTTCTCTCTCTCTCTCTCTCTCTCTCTCTCTCTCTCGTCTCTCTCTCTCTCTCTCTCTCTCTCTCTCCTCTCTCTCTCTCTCTCTCCCTCTTATTTCCAACACCACACAACCCTCCAACCTGCTACCTTACCTCTTCCCTCTTCCCCTCCGATGACCACTGCCGACATAAGCAAAAAAGAAGCAGCCGCTAGACTATCGGGCAACCTCCTGCCACCGTAGAGCTGCTCTTGGTCACCACCATCAACCACCTCTGTTATGTTGCTGCTGCTACTACGTAAGTCCCCATTGCCATTTTTTTGTGTGAATCGCAAAGGGCCAAACCAAGGAATCAAATGACCCGTCATTTTTTTTTTCTTTCATCATCTTCATCGGAGAGGATGTTCAGTGGCGATGTGCCGATGATAGCGAAGAAGGGCATGTTGCAGGTACGCTGTCATTGTTGCTCCAATTGAGGGTTTTCGAGCCCTAATCACACCTAAATCAAAGTTTTCCGGGCAAGCTTCAATATCTGGTAAAATTACACCGCAAAAGAGAGGGTAATTCGAACACTAGAATGTAGAATGCTTTAATGGAGAAAGATGGAGGGCACATTGCTTCTATCTGTTTTGTTGAACATAGTCCTAAACCCTGAAGATTCTTGCAGTAGGAGTGGAATTGGAGAAAATCAAAAGAACAGAAGTTGGAGATGGTGGCTGTGACTGGTGATGACGGAGTGGGTGACGAAGGCAGGAGCTGCGCCGACAGCTTGCTGTCTGGTTTTTTCTTGTGTCCGACCATTTACGACGAGGTGGAAGGCAGCAGATTCATTTAATAGAAGAAGAGGGAGAACGGGGGTAGTGACAGAGTTGTGGTGGTTGCACGGTGGACACTTTTAGTGGAGGGTGATGACAGGTGAATGCTGGAACGGAGGCAACAGGTGGAAGACAGCAGCGACGTTGGGGTGTTTGATGGCAATGAGAGAGAGAGAGAGAGATTCTTTTTTATTTTTCTTTTAATCATAAAAAAACATTTAAATAAATAAAAAAATAGAAAAAGAAAGTACCAAGGGTAAATCCGTCATTTTAAATATTTCTAAATCAAATTGGACCAAAATCGCAACAAAATGAAAACTTTAGACCTGTGGTGCTAGTCAAAACTTTTTTAGAACAAAGTGTCAATTTTGAGCAAACCACAATGACAATTTGTGCAGTTTAGTCTAAAAATAACTAAATTTGTTAATAGAGAGGTGCACAAAAATCGGTCCTGAGTTGGTCTTTTTTTTTTTGGATCGGTCTTTTTTTTTCGGACGGTCTTTTTTCGGATTGGTTTTGGCTCTAAACTAGTCCGATCGGGTTCTTCGTCGGTCTTTTTCGGTTCCTTCAATTTTTTTGCTACATTTCATTTTTAAACCATCATCCATCAAGTACATATATCAAGACATTTTGGATTCAAGTGTAAATCCAGAGACATTTTAAATTTTGAGAAAGAGAGAATTTGAGGTGAGAAGATTATAGCCCGGTAGTTAATTTTGATTACTTGGTTGAGTAAAAATAAATACTAACAGCAAAGTTTGGGAATTTGTCCCACCCCGGTGTATCAAATAAGAATGGGAAAGTGAAAACATTATAAAATGGAAAGGAAGGGCACAGCTCCAAATCACAAAATAAAAAAGCCAGCCTCCATCCCCATTTAGGCGCCAAATCTCATCTCCGTTTCCCGCGACTTCTTCTACTTCCTCCTCCTCCTCTCGCTCTCTGACTCACTCACTAAATTTGGCACAATGAAGGACCTTGATTTTAGCCGGGACAAAGGTATGCTTTCCATATGCTAAACCTAATCACTGTAGATCAACTCTGTAAGTGCTAATTGACCGTTCATTTTTGTTCTTTTGCAACAGATCTAGCGAAAGATTTTCTTCAAAACTCTGCATCAGCCAAATATATTAGCATCCTTGTAGGTTTTTCCCTATTGTCTTGTGCCCATAAATATTTCTTTGACGTTTTATGTACTAATTTACTTTGCGGTTTTTTTCCTACACAGCAAGATGTCGCGAATCGGAAACTGAAAGCAATAGAAATTGACCTCGAAGATCTGTTTGATGTATATTCCTTGTTCATGACCTTCATTTAGTACCTTATTACGACGTAAGTTCTAAGATTTGATGCTTAACACCCTTTTCATATTGTTTTGGATCAGTACAAGGATTTGGATGAGGAGTTTGTGGGACGAGTTACCGAGAACACCCGGAGATATGTTGGAATTTTTGCTGATGCTATTGATGAGTTGATCCCTGAGCCAACGGAGGCTATTCAGGAGGACGATTCTGACGTATTTCACACACAACGAGCCGAGGAAGGCAATGAGAATCCTGATGGGACCGACCCAAGACAGAAGATGCCCCCAGAAATTAGGCGTTTTTAGTAAGTATAAACTAGTTGTTTTTTTTTTCTTCTTAAATTGGTTCTGGCTTTTAAACTTTTATCACTTTAATAAATTGATTTCCGACATCTTTACCCAAGTTGCTTCTACATGACAAGCAATCAGGGCCGGTCCGTATGTTTCCAATGCCCTGGGCGACAGACTATTTAATGCCTACATATATTTTGCCTTCAATATTCCCTTCAAGCTTTACCTTAACCATAGTAGGTAGTGTATGTTTCAGTTTTAGAAAGATTTCCCTTTACCACAGTCGGCAGTGTACCTCCAATAAATTTGGAAAATCATACAAATTTTGCAAAAATCATCCAAGGTTCGAGCAATTTGATGGAATAGACCAGGATCATCAGATGGTCGATTTGAAAAGTTTAAAACGAACTTATCTAGTTTTCATTACAATTTATGACGGAAATTGTTAGGTCCAAACAAATAAAATGTTAAGATCTTTTTTCCAAATATTAGTAACTATTTATTAATGTAAATGGGTAATTTCGAATGGTTTTTTTGGTACAAGTGCTTAAATCTTTAATCCAAATTTTCTTCAAACGTAGGCATGTATTGTTCCACCTGCAAAAGCTGAAAAAAATATATTAGCATCTAATCCAAATTGTTGAAGCAACAGCCAGATCTTCAACAAATCTACTTAATAAAGAATTAGAGAAACATAAATCTTGATCATGAACAGCCGGCATGGAGTGAGAATTGATATCCAGAAAGGGAACTACCTCAGTCCTCAAAAAATAGAATCAATAAGTGGATCAGAATAGCGACTTTCATTGTTGTTTAGATGAAACGAATCAGAAAAGCAGATCTCAGTCATCAGTATGAATGATAGAATCAGAAAGCCTCAAACTTTGCCCCTCAGTATGAAAGAAGGAATCAACACAGGAATTAGCGTGGGTTTTTTGGAAGAAAATAATGAGAGAAGAAACCTAAGACCACACATCCTTCTGCCAGCCGGCCGTCTCCTCGTTTTCTACAGGGAGGCGTGCTTTTTTCCATCGAACGAGATAACATTGCCGCTTGTTTTTACTTTTCAACTTAGATCGTGCCATGCCCTCTCCGCTTCCCTTATCAGCTAGACTAGTTTGTGGATAAAAATTTAAACCCAAGTCAACTATACCCATTAGAGGTCGACAAAATTTGATGCCCCATCTGAACATGCTGCCCTGGGCTGTGGCCCTGCAAGCAACTTTGAAATGGGTCCATCATTGCATTTGATTCATTGTCCAAATCGTTTTGTAGGTGTATTATCTGTTTATCCATAGAAATTATGTTAACATGCTAATTGCTTGAGAATTAACGTTTTTGTGCTAGTTACACTTTTTGCCAAGTTTCTAATGCTCATTGTTTGTAATTCAGCGAAGTTTACATCAAAGCTTCCTCCAAGGTCCAGCCATTTACCATTAGGGAGGTTAGGGCTTCACATATTGGCCAGCTTGTCAAGATATCTGGCATTGTGACTCGCTGTTCAGATGTAAAACCATTGATGAAGGTTGCTGTGTACACATGTGAAGAGTGTGGTTTTGAAATATATCAGGTATGTATGTAGTAATCATGCCCAATCCAGCATGTGGGATTTTTTTTAAACGTTGCTCGCCTGTTTTTGCCTTTATAACATGCTATCTCTATGAAACAGGAAGTAACTGCTCGAGTGTTCATGCCTCTATTCGAATGCCCATCTAAGCGTTGTCAGGTTAACCGGGCAAAAGGACACCTTATCCTCCAACTCAGAGCTTCAAAGTTTTTAAAATTTCAAGAGGTCAGTTCAAGATACCTTTTTGCAGTGATTTTCACATTTTGTGCAATGGGAGATGTTTTTTAAAGCTCCTCAAATCTGTTCTCTTACATTGGATGTTACAATGATAAATTTCAGGCCAAAATTCAAGAGCTTACTGAACATGTTCCTAAAGGTCATATTCCTCGTGCGATGACTGTTCACTTTCGAGGGGAACTTACAAGAAAGGTTGTTTTTTATGAAGATTGCTGAATTTTCATTTTTTTAATATTGATACTAGCTTTTAAAGCTAACTGCCAATATTGTTAACACTTGTGAAACCTACTTAAACTTTCAGGTATCCCCAGGAGATGTTGTTGAGTTATCTGGAATATTTCTCCCTATTCCTTATACTGGGTTTAGAGCAATGCGAGCAGGCTTAGTGGCAGATACATACTTGGAGACTATGTCTATTTCCCATTTTAAGAAAAAATACGAAGAGTAAGCAACTCGTAGATTTCTATGGTCATAAGCATCTTTTTTTAGTAGTATATCATCTGTCCCAAAAACTATCAAACTTTTGAATTGAATGTCTTTTCAATACCTAAATATCTTTCAATGAGACTAAAGTTGTGGATCACAATGAATCTCGATACTTTGTGATGGTTGTTTATGAAAAAAGGGGGTAAATAAAAACTCCAAGAATTGAAAATGTTGTTGATTTTGTATGTAATAGAAAATATTCCTTGTTATGCATTTGGTGGTTGAGGGATTTATTTTGGTATTGTGCAGCTATGAACTGAAAGGGGTTGAGGAAGAACAAATAGCTCGGTTAGCTGAGGATGGTGACATATACAACAAGCTGTCTAGATCATTGGCTCCTGAGATTTTTGGACATGAAGATATCAAGAAAGCTCTTTTACTCTTATTAGTGGGCGCTCCTCATCGGAAGCTCAAGGATGGGATGAAGGTAAATCATGGTTAAAAGTAGTGTTTTTGTTTCTCTTTAAAACCATGTGCACAATACAAGTATGAGATTAAAGTTGAGATAGTATGGTAAATTTGTTTCAGATAAGAGGGGATCTACATATATGTTTGATGGGTGATCCTGGAGTTGCAAAAAGTCAGCTGCTTAAGCACATAATTACTGTTGCACCAAGAGGTGTGTATACAACTGGAAAAGGAAGCAGTGGTGTTGGTCTTACAGCTGCTGTTCAGAAGGACCCGGTCACAAATGAGTTTGTGCTGGAAGGGGGGGCATTGGTGAGTCAGGATTTTGTTACTATTCATATATTCTAATATGTAAACAAAGAAAATATATAAATAAATGGATGGGTGTAGGTGCTGGCTGATATGGGGATATGTGCGATTGATGAGTTTGATAAGATGGATGAGTCAGACAGGACTGCCATACATGAAGTCATGGAGCAGCAGACGGTTAGCATTGCCAAAGCCGGGATCACCACATCTCTCAATGCAAGAACTGCAGTTCTTGCTGCTGCCAATCCTGCCTGGTATTTACTCTTTACATTATTATTGTCATTATCATTTATTTTTTAATTACTAATATGAATGTTTTGTTTGATGATTCAGGGGGAGATATGATCTCCGCAGAACTCCAGCTGAAAATATAAACCTGCCTCCTGCACTTCTATCAAGATTTGATCTTTTGTGGTTGATCCTTGACAAGGCAGATATGGACAATGATCTTGAAATGGCCAGGCATGTTGTTTATGTCCACCAGAACAGAGAATCTCCTGCCCTTGGCTTTGCTCCACTTGAAGCTTCTGTTCTCAGGTATGTATTGTAAAATGTAAACACACACATATTCATATTCCCTTGATATCACTCAATGGTAAAAAAAAAAAAAGTTTATAGTTGCAAAGTATGAGAGGATTGATTGTGTTGTTGATATGATATAATAAATGATGATAATAGGGCATACATATCAGCTGCTCGGAAGCTGTCTCCTAGTATACCAAGAGAGCTGGAGGAGTACATAGCCACTGCATATTCAAGCATCAGGCAAGAAGAAGCAAAATCAAACAGCCCTCACTCCTACACCACTATCAGAACGCTTCTCAGCATTCTGCGCATATCAACTGTGAGTTGTTATTTCTTACTGTATTAATTTATATACTAGCAATAGTAAATTAGTAATATGAATATGTGGATTGATGACACAGGCACTTGCTCGGCTGAGGTTCTCAGATGTGGTGGCTCAGAGTGACGTGGACGAAGCACTGCGGTTGATGCAGATGTCAAAATTTTCATTGTACTCTGAAGATCGCCAGAAATCTGGTCTTGATGCAATCTCAGATATATACTCAATACTACGTGATGAAGCTGCAAGGTCCAACAAGATGGATGTAACCTATGGACAAGCTCTTAACAGGATCTCAAGAATGGTCAGTTAGCTGCTCTCTTTCTTCTTCTTATCATTATTATATGTCTCTTCTTTTCTTTTTTTTGCATAATTATAGAGATGAATGTTGGGTTGTCAACAGGGGTACACCGAGGCTCAGCTCAAGGAATGCTTAGAAGAGTATGCAGCATTGAATGTGTGGCAGATTCATCCCAACACCTTTGATATTCGATTTATTGATGCTTGAGTTCATGATGTCTTACTAGTTAGTATCTATCTGTCTATTTTTATTTAAGATGCCCTTCTTTCATGTGTCTTTTTATCATTCAATTGGATGTTGGTAGACAGCTTCAGTAACTTCATATCAAATTACCTTCAAACATTTGCAACTACCCTTGTATTTTTTTTCTTTGCTAAAGCTATGTATGGGAGAGGCATATGATGTGTGGTCTTGATGATATTGTTCAACTTGCATACTGTTTCTGCTTTGATATGTGAAATGAAAACCCAACCAAATACAATACCATAGTGATTTGCAACACTGTGATGTGATATACTGGTATATTTTGGCTTGTGAATAAAGTCTTCCTATTTCCTGAAAGATCTCATGTCCCAAAAAAAACTATATCATGGAGTACTATTCTAGCAAAAGTAGGCCAAAGGACAACTTTGGTATGGACTTTAAGACGCCCAAACCACTTGCCTTCTCCTTTACCTCCATGCAGGGCACACATACGTTATTTGAGACCCTACAATCATTGTCTTCCTCGTAAACTTATCTAAGAACCATTATCGACTTTAGCTCCAAAGCATTTTCTCCAGCCTCCACAAAACATCTTTAGCCTATCAGGTGATATCAAGTCATGACCTTCAAAATCACATCTGTGCATAATCGTTGGTGATACACAATTAAATCTGCCTCCGACTCTATTGAAAATCATATGTATAGTTACTTCTCACTTAGGGGGATACCTCTAGTATCTATTCAACGAGATGTCAAAGGGTCCGAAGGATGATCTTTGTTTAAGGTAAACCACCTTTGAGGTCACCGAGAATCATGATGGAATTTTAGGAATTGCATGGTTGTATAAGTCATAATAGAGAGCAATACTTTTATTGATATTTCACTTATATATCATATCGAAGCAAAATAGCGCCATCTCCTTCTTTGCACATAATAAAAACTTCCAAAACTTATGTCGAATGCCATGGGAGATTTTCAAGTACACCTCAATAGGATCTCACATTCTTTGCTCCATTCCTTTCTCTGCTAATTTTTTTTTCGGGTTTACGTCCAAACCCCAACCTTTTTTTTTTTGAATTTGTGGTCATTTTGAGTTAGTTTCGTTATATTATGGTCTCTATAAATATTAAAATGACTGTAATACCCTTGGGGTATATATTTTCTATTTTTATTTCATTTTTTTTAAATTTAATATTTATTTATTTATTTTAATAATTAAAAAAAAAGAGGGACCTCTCTCTCTCTCTCTCTCTCTCTCTCTCTCTCTCTCTCTCTCTCTCTCTCTCTCTGTTTACAGTTATACTTCATTTTTTATCAGAAGGATTTGCGTCAAGAGGTTGAGGCTGGATGATGGGATCTGGAACTAGTAAAGCGTCCAATATAGGTTTCTTCATAGAAGTGGTCAATAGAGTTTCCCCTTTCTCCTGGTTCTAAAAAACGATCATCATAAAGTTGTGATGTGCACAATAGTACCTACTTGTTTTGAATTTATAACCTAACTTAACTAATATATGTACCTATAGGCAGTGTACCTAGTCGGATTATAGAATAGCTTTGGTAAGTCGGGTGTCGAACACAGGGAACAAAATTTAGTTAATTAATTTAACTACTTCTAATTAAACTATAAAACAAATTTAAATTGGAGGTTTTTACTGATTTTGCAAGATCATAAGAACTTAAATTAAAATAACAAATTACCAGCTAAGTAAGCAAATAAACACGAATTTACTTCAAGATTAAAGCATACTTTTGTTCAGTTCCGATTTCACCTTCTCTTATGGTTGATTTCTAGTGGATAAAATATATTGATTACCAATTTATTAACTAGCTATTATATAATCAAATATCTATACATACCAATTCATGAATTGCTATGTAATGATCAAGCATAAGTTAAACACCAAATCAATAATGAGCACAAATTGGACTATGAATGATAATAGTTACTTTTCTATGATCAAGTTAAACAACCAAGCACAAATTAAGATTAATTATGCTCTCTAACACAGTTAAAGTTGGTAGCTTTAATTACTTTATCTAAGATGTGATTAATCCTAGCTCTAATTATTTAATGATCATAAACAATTAGGTTACAAATTCAAGCAATTAGAATGATTAACTATCATGCAGAATTTGATTAATAAACAATATAAACTAGAACTAAAACATGTTAGAGTTTTAATTATCAAACACAAGTAACACCAACATATATCATTCAATAGTTGAAATCAACACATACTAGCTAAGCAAACAAATAAACACAAATTTACTTCAAGATTAAAGAGTACTACTATTCAGTTCCGATTTCACCTTCTCCTATGGTTGATTTCTAGTGGATGGAATATATTGATTACCAATTTATTAACTAACTATTATGATCAAATATCTAGACATACCAATTCATGAATTACTATGTAATGATCAAGCACAAGTTAAACACCAAATCGATAATGAGCACAAATTAGACTATGAATGATAGTAGTTACTTTTCTATGATCAAGTAAAGCAACCAAGCACAAATTAAGATTAATTATGCTCTCTAACACAGTTAAAGTTAGTAGCTTTAATTACTTTATCTAAGATGTGATTAATCCTAGCTCTAATTATTTAACGATCATAAACAATTAGGTTACAAATTCAAGCAATTAGAATGATCAACTATCACACATAATTTGATTAAAAAGCAATATAAACTAGAACTAAAACATGCTAGCGTTTTAATTATCAAACACAAGTAACACCAACATATATCATTCAATAATCGAAATCAACACATGAGGATTAGGTTCATCTTCACCAAACAGAAGTATAAGGTTTTTAGCCTCTCATAGTAGTAGAAAAACACACAAAACCTATGCAATTAAGACTAGACAGGAGTATGTTTAGCAAACCAAATAGATCTATGTAGAATTCTTCTAAATCGTCTTCAACTTGTAACATACCAAAAATTCAGATAAAAATTTCATTTTAAATTCATTCCAATCATATGATAATCATATCAAAACAGTCAAGAGTATATCATAGTAAAATGTTATCAGAGTACAAAATCCCAAAATCACGTGATGCGGAAAAAAATTGGTGGATGCAGTGCGATCTGGCCGAGCCCTTCCCTTTCGAGCTAGAAGTATCTGAAACATAAACTGAAAACCGTAAGCACAAAGCTTAGTGGGTTCCCTCAAAATACCCCATATCATACATATATAACAGTCAAAAACATATTGGGTCTATTTCACCCCATTCGGTATCTTTCAACCGGTGTTGGGTCTATTTCACCCATTTTGGTATCTTTCAACCGGTATTGGGTCTATTTCACCCCCTTCGGTATCTTTCAACCGGTACTGGGTCTATTTCACACCCTTCGGTATCTTTCAACTGGTATCGGGTCTATTTCACCCATACCACTAACACATATAATCATAACAATAAGAGTCATAGAGACATCAACCAGATACAAGCATAATAGGTAGTTGTCACGAAGACAATCATCATACTACGAACATAATCTAGTGGGCTAACATTGGTGCCTTCGACCCATGGATACAGTGAAGGAAACTCACTCAGACCGAAGGTATCAAATCACACTCGAGCTGCTGACTCGCAAAATCCTGTCACTAAATCACAAGTATAAAACCCTAATTAGAAATTAAGTCAATAATCCAACCCGAGAGTCTAAACCCTAAATCCTACCTTTAAGGGCAAAAGGTTGCTTAATCCTTGCCTTATTGGGCCTACCCCACCAAGGACCAAATCCAAACTAGCCCAAAAGGCATTCCAAGTCCAACTAAAAAGGACCCTAAGGCCCAACATGGGTCCAAGAGCTCCATGATGGTCCTAAAGCCCACAAATGACCTGATACCACAAATAGGCCTACGACCCAAACTCAATCAAGGCAAAAAGGCCTACGACCCAAACTCAATCAAGGCAAAAAGCCCAATTAATCCCAAGCCCAAAACTCTAAAGGCCCACACACGGACGTACACGCGGCGTACCTGTTGGGTTTTCTACGCATCAAATACACTCTAAAACTAGGCAGCGGAAAAATCGAAACAACGATATACCTAAGTGTACATGCATCCTATGGATCTATGGCTTCATGCTAATTACATCAACCCTAGAAAACTAAAACAAAGAAGAAAACATACTTCTTATGTAGCCCTTGATCTCCATGCTTGAGATCTTGAACCTCAATGAAATTGCTTGGATGAAAGGACCCAAACCAGAATCCCTCTAATGGTATCACACCCAATGACACCAAAGAGTGGAATAAAAATAACTAGGAGAAGGGTCAATTTCACAAACCCAAAGGGGTTAGAAATCGTCCCTAAGAGGGGGAGGAAGAAGGGTTGGCAAAACTTCAAGCCAAGGTGCAAGGAGGAATGAAATCCCTAAGGCCCTATTTATAGCCTTGGATGCCTCCTTAGGTTTAGTACTCCTTCCCATGTGGGATGGGAGCATAACCACGAAATTTCACTCCTTTCCCATGTGGGATGGAGTGAGTTTCATTCAACCCTAATTCCATAAGGGTTTTGGAACATTCCTGATTAACCAACTATCGATTAATGAACATTCAACCCTTTAATTAATTAAACTATTAATTAATTCCCATAATATATTTCCAATTAGTTTCTAATTAATTATTAACCATAATAATTAATAAACCAATTTCTCCTTTATTTATTCTACTCAATTTGGGTCTTGAGGGCAACCCAAAAGGACCATGCTATTATTAGAAATATTACCAATAGTTAATGACCTTGGACACTATTCCAACAGTCTCCCACTTGGACAAGTCATCAACTATATGAGGACTAATATTTCTCAATAATCAACAGAGAGTTAGCCATCCAATGCAACTACCGAACTCTTGATCTAATCAAGATTCAACCCTTAGATACGTGATCAACTATCCCTTCGTTCTATGATATCTGTATGAATTCGAGACATGGATAATGGTCAATCTCAAGAATTCAAGATTATGTTTCCCGATATAGATTTGTGACGACTGCATCTGACTACTAAATTGAACACATCAATTCCAGTCAGGGCTTGGCCAAGCAATTTAGATGTAAACACCAAATCATCGAGGGGCCCATAGATATCGCTTCTCCTATTAAGGCAGAAGGAACGAATAAACTTCGACTACATAGTTTTTGTCTATTTCATCATGTCACACATGGACATACCCT